AGTGTTCTTGCTTCTAGCATTAACAAGGCTTGTGCATTCAGCATTTTTTCCCCCTGTTATCATGTGACAGGCTATATTTAATATTTGCCTGAATATATTTTGCATCTTCCTTTGATCCAGAAAGCAGTTCTGTGAGGCTTGTCTGCATGTTGCATCTCCCTTGCCGCGGCAGTCCAGAGCAAAGCTTTTCCATTTCACTGCAATTTCGGCATGGGCTGGTAATGGCAGGAGCACACAGCCGTGCGTGCATGCCTGCTGCTCTAGCAAAAGCCATGCTGAGCAGGCTGCACAGGGGACTGCCACGTGCCTAAAGCACATGGTCATGCAGGCAACAGCCACCCAGAGCCTCACGTGAGAGTCAATGTGAAGAGCAGCTCTCAGTACCAGCATGCCTGACGGTTTAGCTGGTCATTCCCATGTTGTCACGTGGGAGACCAAAGGTCAGGAAATTCCCAGCTCCTCTTGATGCTGGAGGTAGAGTCCTTCGACTCCAAGAGAGGGGGCTCACACTGTGGCTCATGCAACACCTAGTAACTGCTTGTAAACAATGATTAAAGCTTAGGAAAGGATTCCACATACAAGCTGGCTGCTGGGAATGCTGCCCTTCACACTACAAAGGCTGTGCTGGAAGAGGAGGTCATGTTAAGAAACACAGGGGAAGGAAGACTGCAATAAAGGGAGTGTTGCACACACACCCTTTTGTGGGCTGCCCCCTTCAAGTCATCCCCAGGATGCAGTCGAGAGGCTGGATGGAGCAAGAACAAACCTCTCCTAGTTGGCTGCTCTGCCTACTGCAAACAAGAGTTAAAAGAAAATGCCAAAACCCACCCAATCCCACCTACTGTCAATCATTACAGTTCAGTATCTATATAAGAAGTAAAAGGTAATGGATACTGCACTCTAGGTGAAGTATCTTGGCTGAATAAATAAAACACGGCATTTAATAAAATCTTTGTGTTCTTGGGGGGTAGGAGGTATAAGTACACTTCACATGGAAATAGTTTTCAGCTTTTTGATTAATGTACCCCTAAATCTTTTATTTTAAAACTGAAAGTGAAGACTTGTAGTTATTGCACATAGGTGTATTTCTGCAGCACATTACAAAGCTTGTTTTTCTTTTTTTCTTTTCTAAAATAATCTTTGGCAGATCCTTTGCAAGCAGTCTAAGGCACCCAGCCATCCAGGCAACACGGACTAAAAACTACTGTCATAGGAACGCAAAGAATGAGAGAGTTTTTTCAAAGCCTCCGACAGCCCTGTTCTCCTTAAGGAGCAGGGCAGTAACAATAAGCAGGTTATCACTGTGTCAGCAGCATGCCTGTGACATAGCCCTACATCCAACGCTTTGGTGGCAAACAGCAAATTCAGATCTAAACAAAGTCCCAAAAACCTTCTAACTAGGGTCTTCCACCAGACTTAGCTGATGCTTCTGAACTCTAATTCACTCCGTTCAAACCCTTTACGGTAGCTGCCCCATTCACCCAAATAAGGGCTACACAGGGAAGAGAGCCAGGTAAAAGCAACCACCAACTAGTTACCTGCAAAATATGAACCTACCTTTACATACAAACAGCTACAAATACTCCAGATTTCCTTAAAGGACCCTGCAGTTAAATGGAAACATTCCACTGAAAAACTGGCAAAAGACAAAACAAGGTGTGCAACAGATGAAGAACCACGAAAATGTGTTTGCAGTAACAGGTTACTTTAAAAGCTAACTGTATGGGAGGGAGACTACAGATTTCAACCAACTAACCAGCATCCAATACAGAGAGAGAAAATAAGTTTTAAATGCATCTACATGTTACAGTGAATGGTCATTTGCAATGCTAAAATAAATGAAAATACTATTTTTTATTTAAAAAAAAAATCAGTACTGTGAAAAAGAAATACATCGGATTCCAATCTTGCAACAGCCATTACCCTGTGTCCTTCCTCTTCAAAAGAAAACCAGCATTTGCCATATGTACATTCCCCAAACAGAAATTTATGGGAAAGTAGATGCTTGCTTTATTCTTTGCTATAGTCCAAAGAACAGACGATAAACTGGTGAGCCTAAACATTTTTCCATCGACCAGACAATCTGAGCTGGAAATACAGATTTAAGTTAAATTTATAAGGAACCTTTTTGTTATTGTTGCTGTTTTTACCTTTGGGGGGGGGGGGGGGGGGGGAACAAGGG